CTCCAAGAACAAGGAAGTCTCGACGTAATGGGAAATTTGCCTCGTGCACCGGCTGCGTAAAAGTTTACTGAGTGGGAGCCCGTAATGTCGTGGGAGTTTCCAAAATAAATGTCGTCCAGTACATTTTTGTCTTCGCAATCGTCCAATTGCGCCCCGTTAAGGCCTCTCCTGCCTGGTTGCGGTGACTCGGGGATTGCCTGGGAGTTTGGCAACCGCTGAAGTTTTTTGGGTGATAAGGGACGGGTTGGAAAAAAAAATATTTTTTAAGATCTTATTCTTCACGCGATAGCGTTGTTCCTGGTCGAACGACTGAGTTAGATATTGGATTATTTTTTTTACGACTGCGTGCACGTGTATCAGTGGCGGCTGGATTTGAAAGTAATGCTTTTTTGCTGCTTGACTCGCGGAAGGAAAAATTGTGTCAGGCCTACTTTTTTTTGGAAACGAACGGATACTGTCCGATTCAGTGAGTGCGTTATTCTGTATTTTACTTGTTATTTCGAATACGAAAAATATACATGCTCGCGTTTGGGATGATTCTTGACGACCCGTAGAGACGTCCCGGGGTAATTTTGAGCTTTGGAAATTAATGTTGGCAAAGGGAAATTTCAAAGCGATCGGGGACCGTGTTTCCGAATGGCCCAATGCTTCAATGGGGATTGCCGGTCCTGCAGTTTTATTATTAAATTTCAATATCACCGACTGACGCGACCTTTTATTAATATCGTCATTTTCCATCGCGCAATTAAACCTAAAAGCGCGTCCACACGCCCACCCGGATTTCCATGTAAACCATTGTTCACGGTTCGACTCACGGATAACGTCCATGCTTTGTCCCTCGGAATGAGCGATCGGTCGAATTTCGTTATCACAGAGTGTCGACTCTCGGAAGTAAATAAACTAACAGTCAGGAGTGTGTACTCGCCTTAAAGCCACTTGACCGTCTCGAGCGGGTCGTTTGGTAGATTCTTGTTTAAATACTTCAGATCAAATACGTAGCTGGACTTTGTCAAGCTTTCGTGAAATATTTATCGTTTCACCGGAGAAGCCAATATTTTTCTTAATTTACAAAGAGGTTCTTCAAAACTTTCCTTGTCACTTGTGTTCACTATTCTCGATCTATACAGTCCCCCTATATACCCGCCTATTCTATATCTATATATATATATATATAGTTCTCCCTGTGGATATGCACTTTGGCATACAGAAACCCCGTCGGCTTCCACTTTTATTTTTCTCTTACGATTCCACGAGTTTTCCCATTTCTTTTTCTCTTTCGTTCCCTCTCCCCCCTTCTACTTTCTCGACATGAACACAGACGATTGCTTTCCACTACGGAACTTTCACGGTTCCCGAATTTTCTCATCGCTCGGCTTCGCCTCTGTCGGCGAAGTCTTCAATACTCCCAAGGAATATCCAGTTTCGTTAACTTCACGTAAGGAGCTCCTCCTCTCGCCGGTGCATCCGGTGCATCGGTGCATCGGCGCAGCCAGTGCAAGAAATACAAGCACCGAGGAAGAACCCTTACCGTGCCAAGAGGCGCACTCGATTATTACATTCCGGACGAAGGAACGGAGAAAGCATTACGAAATAGAATCTCAGCCTCTGAGATGATTTCATGCACTTGGAAGAATCTGGGAAGGTGGAGCAATTTTCTGTTATCAGTAAATGTCTGGGTTATCATTTCCTATATACACGTATATATATATATATATATATATATAATACCCGGTGGTACACCAACTGCTTCAGTGCACTCAGTATCGACATGGACAAGGGTTGGGTTAAGTTAGTGGTCGTTATACCGGAAACTGGTAACTGGAGGAGCCACCCCCCTCCCTCTGACCCCCCCCCCACAGAACTAAATCCTTATCAGGCGAATTGGCAATTCCCTCTGGGGTCGTTGCACGCAGCTGCACTTTGCACTGGGCATCCGCCCCACCACCCACTGACCCTCGTTAAGTACTTCACCCCCCCCCCCACCTCTTTTCCCTTCTTATATTGCCCGTCACCTGATCCTGGACCCCATTCGCTCCATAAGGGGTTTTCACGTGAACCAAGTTGACTATCCCAAAGTCTATAAACGACGAGACACGCCACAGCCTCCGCTCTTGTTTGGCTGCTCGAACTTTTGAATCGTCCTGTATCTTCCTCTACGGTGCATCCAACAGCCGCTGACGTCATTTGCATCGAATCACCGATAAAGTTCCAGTCGAGCCATAGAAATAGGATCAGGTTGCTTGGATTCGTAGACCCAGTGACCGAGAAGTACCGTCAAAGACGGAGCAGGTTCTACTGGAGGGGGATATAAAAAGAAAAAGTAGTTTATCGCGGATTCTTGATGATATCGATTAGACGATAACGAGATAAAGAAATAATTTAATGATCTATACTGAAATCGTAGAGATAACGAATTTCGGATTTTTATGTCTTCTGTCCGTATCATTAATAATTATTAATCATACGTGTTATCACTACAGTCATCAGTAGATAAAGGTTCATCCGGTTATCATGGCACGGAGAGTTATCTGAAAAAAAAAAAAAAAAAATTGTGTTCACGCCTGTCTCAACAAAAATATTTCTTTCGAAGAACTTCTACTTGACTCTCTGGAATTTGTCGCGCAAGGAAAATTTGACCTCCCCTGCCCCCCCCCCTGACCTAACCTACCAGCCTGTCTCAATTATTTTCCCGAAGTTACTCCACGGGATAACGCGATAACCCAGCCTAATCTCGTTATCGCGCCAGAGACTGCATTTAGCCCGATTCCGCTCGAAGCAGCCGAAGGATTTCTTTCTTTCTCAATTCTTTTTTCTTTCTTTTCCCGTTGTCTTTGTCGTTCCAGCCGTCATTCGCCTCCACTCAATGCAACCAGCTAACGACCCATTCGAGGGAAGAGCCGCAGTCCTGTCTTCGCTTTCTTCCACTTCATTCCACACCTTCTCCCTTTATTCGCGCCCGAAGTCTTTTCGACCAGCGTCCATTCTCTCCTACCTCCCCTCTCGCTCTCCTTTTATTCCATTACCACGGATAGGAGGGGTATCAGCTACGTCACGTTTCCGTAGCTTCTATCGAGGGGGAGCCCAGTGGCCACCGATAAGGCACTGTCAAATAATAGACGTATTTCGAAAGAACACATTTGACACCACTTGGCGAGCATCACGTGTTCCTTTGGCTATTAGGCAGCGACGAAAGGTCTCTTTGTTCTTGCACGAATCTATATACCTATATATAGTTGAAATTTCATGAGGGAAAAATTAATATCAATGTTCGAGCGTCTATTGTCTTCGCTATAATTATTCCTAAGGAAAAATCACAACCGGTTACAATGGGTACAGTCCGTGCTGAATTTTAATGGTTCAGGCGCTACAGCCTTTCGTATTTCCATCTAACGTCACTCTGCTTCGGCCGAGTCCAATACTTTGCGGTTCGAGTGGATCTGTATTAGAAAATTGTCTCGGGGGGCAAAGGTCGAACTTTTGCTTCCTCGCGTGATTCCCCTTTAGGTTTCACCTTTTCACGCACGTGCCAAAAGCCGTAAGAGCTGGGAGATAACCCGGTTGGCTCTGTGATCCTTTTTGATCTCCAGCCTCCCCCCCCCCGACTCACTTACGTTACTTTGCTTACTTGATCTTTGACTTTTCTCATTTTTTTTAAAAACCACTCATATTTTTTTTCTTTTTCTTCATCCTCTCTTTCCCTCGCGCCATGTGCACACCAGTCACGCACTAGTTATCCTCTAATCTTCATTCGCGTGCTAGTAGAGTTACCGGGGTTTTATTATCTGAGGAAAAATAGAAAGAGATTGAAGTGACGTATTCGCGCGTCATCGAAGTTGAATTTTTTGGTTCACTGTGGTCTTACGTGGTGGTCCATATGTAGAGAGCCTTGAATGGATATAAAAAAAAAAGTAACTAGAAAAATCGTAAAATTAGGTTTTAACGCTCTACTCTGGACCCTTGGCCGGGATATGTATTTTCACGAATATTTATCCAGCCTGAGATCAGAGAGGCTGTAGACGATGGAGGCTGTAGAAGGATGGACCAGCCGAGGCTTAAGAGGAAATTTTCATTATGAGAACAGCCGGAGGACTAAAAATGTGTTTACTCTACTTAGTACTTCCATTCGTGTCACGGAGCTCTTTGGTTGAACTTTGACTCGGAATTTCCTGGTATTATTATTATTATCATTACTGACGGTCTCTTTGTTTTCCACTTACAGATATCGCCGAGTATAAACAAAGTGCTGGGAGAATCATCATCGGGACAAAGAGAAGCTTTGTCGACTGGAAGCGACCGGTGCTATCGAGGAGAGGGGAAGAGAATAAAGAAAAATTTTCGAAATTTTGAAAAATTGATTATTGGATCTACAGAGGAAGTGGTTATCGAGGATCGCGAAAGATGATGACCAGGATGCTGCTTCAGGAGCCGGGATGGAAATTGGACCGGAAGGGCTCGGCCCTCTTTCTCAGAAGAGACAGCTCGCATCTCAAGAGTGCCAGAGTCTGTTTCCGGTGTGACGTCGAGGTCCGCGAATTCGAGAGGGACGAGGAGTACGCGATCGAAACGGAACCGGAAGCTGCCGCCAGTCCCCTCGCGATGTGCGCGAGCTGCCTGGCTGCGCTTTGCGTCACCGTCGTACTTCCTTGGCTTCTGATTGGCGGCTAAGTCTTCGGGTGGTGCCACTGCTTCGCGGCGTCTGCTGTTGCGGCACAGAAACAGGATGCGCAGGGATCTACCGGAAGTTACGATTCGGAGTCTGAACGCAGGATGGTACATACCGGTACACCGATCGATCGAGCTACCAGCCTCCTTTCTTTTCTACGGTCGACGAGGATCGTCCGATATATCGACTCGAATATTTTTGAAGGAACGGAAGCATGGGTACGAATACAATGGGCACTTCCGGTTCTGACTGCTCGAGACAAGGCTGAAATATCTTCGGCATCCTCGACCGAGTGACTGACCTGGCCCCGGCTGACTTATTGGCCGCTCGAAGTAATTCTTAGCTCGACCGAGAGTCTCTCTTTGGGATACTACGTTATTCTCTTTTTTTTTCACATCTTTTCTTTTATTATTGTTTTTCTTGTTATTATTATTCGCGTCGGATCCTCTCTACCTTGCTTGGCTCAGCTGAACAGAATTTTAAATTTATTTTCTATCGGAATTGAATTTACGAAATTACTAATCCGTCAGATGGACGGGGGGGTCGATAGGGGGATCGGAATAATTTCTACGTAAATAAAAAAAGATATCGTAATACGATTTAAAAGTAAACTCAACTAAAGAGGACCAAACGAAGTTTACCTTATCGAGAAAACTTTTTTTTTATCGATTAGGTCTCTTCTCGACTTTTCTCTCGCGTCACTTTTTCTCTTTTTCTTGTTCCTCGTGTTTCGACAGTCGCGCAAAGTTTCGAGTACCTTTCTCTCGGCAGTACCCGCAGATAAGATCTCGGGGAAAACTATGCCCGCCAAGTTTTTCTTTTTTTTTTTTTTTTCTTTTCGCGTATCTGGATCGGCGAACGTTAAGCGGACGTTACCGAGAAAACCCTTTTTTTTTTGTATTTTCTTCATTTTTCATTTTACCTCTCCTTTCGTCGATACTCGCAAACTTTCTCGAAGTACAGTACCGAGATACCAATTTTACGTGGAATACCAATCGCGAATGTATACTCTTTCCCTGCCCCTCCCCACTCTCTCCCGATCCCCCCCCCC